TGCGTGACATCTCTCTGCATTGCAAGACCCACCAAATGCCTCTAGGTAGGTGGGGTGATGGGAAGCTCAGAGAAAGGGCAAGAGATCAGCAGCAGAGTAAGAGGCACTGTCAGGGCTGTGTGTGTGCTGGAATATTCCCTTAGGAGCTGTTTGGATTTTGGTGTCAAGGCTGAAACCAAAGGTCAGTGAACAGCAGGGCAGAGAGACAGCTCTCCCCAGCTTATGATGAGCTGTTTTTCTGCAGGCGAGCCATGTATTTTTGATGACTTACTAACTCATGTAGGTTTCTTGAATGCTGAGCTTGCACTAACTCTGTCTGGGACACGGTATTATAAAAAGGGATGTGTGTGGGGTGGCCAGCCCCATCCCTTGGGGGGCCAAGGAGCAGGGTCAGCTGCCGCCTTGTCACAGCTGCCACTTCTCAAACTCTCCTAAGCTTTTTAGTGCAGGTGGGATTGATTCGCGCACGCTGTGAGCCAGCACCAAAGCCTTTGAGCACGGGTGTCCAAACCATTTCCAGTTGCTGCAGTTTGTGTGTGAGCAGTGGCTGGGCACAACAGCCCGCATGCTTTCCTCTTGGGATTTGACTCTGTCTCTCATGAAAGGGATAGGCTTTGCTCCACGTACTCAAATCTTGCAAACGCACACAGGCACCTCGCTCAGGATCTTGTGCCCCGTGCATTGCAAACACCTTGCTTCAAACACCTAGGCTGGATGCTTGGTGTACTAACAGGAACTGGCATCTGCTACAAGCCTGCCCTGTTACTTCTATGTGACCCTGAGATGTCGTTGCCACCTGTGCTACTGCAGAAACAGCCACGGTTCACGGGGCATAGATAGTGAACACCACCCCTTGGTGGAACCCGCTGGCTGGGAGGGCCCTGTGGTTATTCACTTCCTTGTTCACACTGATTCTGATAGACCTTCAGAGACAGAAAGTAAACCTGGCTTTTGGGGGAAGGGCCGTTTGCTTTCTCCCACCCTTTCCAGCAACTTCCCAGGAATGCCTGAACTGGGAAGGCCAAACATTTCTTGATTTCCAGTCTTTGATTCCTCCAGCTGCATGAAACCTGCCAGCACGGCTGGTGGTGCTTGACCCTCCTCCCTGCTGACGGAGCCACCAGCACGTTCCAGTTGCACGTCGGCAGTGTCTGTGACTCAGAGATAAGATGAAGTCACGTCACTTCTCCATCAGTTTAAAACCACATCACTTGTCTCCGCAGCCCCATCCTCAGCACAGCACCAGCCTCAAGGCACACGAGGTCACCGCTAAAGCATCACAGCAAAACAGGGGCTCAGTCCCACCCTGGTGAAGATTAGGCCTGCACGGTGGAGGCCAGTTAGGGGCAGGATAAATTAAGGGGTCTCAGTGCAGCCTGTGCTCTTTCCTCCCTTCCCTAGGGAGCTGCACAGCTGCCTGTCCCAGGCAGGGCCCGGCCTCCTGGAGCTGCCGGCTAAGCGTGGCCAGCAGCGATGCAGCCCCTGGGGTGCTTGCAGAGCCTGGTGCTGGAGCTGGAAGATGGACGAGCATGGGGAGCCCACAGCAGCGGGGATCTGCTGCACGGGCGGGTGCAGCTGCGGCTCCGCCACGCACTGCGGCTGCGGGCGCTCGAGGTGTTCGCCCGTGGCCGAGCCTTAACGCACTGGCTCGAGAGCCGCAGCGTGGGGCTCAACGTTGTCTACCGCGACTACACAGCCTGCCAGACCTTCCTGCACCGCCGCTGCCAGCTCATCCCCGGTAAGGCTGCACTACCGGGGTGCTTCTCTGCACCAGGGCGTTGGGTTAGGGCCCGCTTGGGCTGCAGGCATCACCCCTGCTAGGTGCTTCCCAACCCAAGCATGGTTGCCCGTCTTGGACACCCTCTTCTCACCTTTGCCAAGGGTTTTTTCGCTGCTGCTGGTTTCTAGGAGGCTGCCTGCAAACTTGGGGCTGGGGAGCAGGGAAGAGCTGTGGCTTTTGTTCTGTTTGCACAGGGAAGTGCAAATAGAAGGGTCTGTTCACAAGTGTGGAAAGAGCACTTAGGAGTTCAATAAATATTTGTTTGCAGTTTCCTGAGGCTGGGACTGGATGCCCAGCTAGCACGTTGCTTAGATCTACTGCAGCTTGAATTCTTTGTGTGGTTGGGATGAAATGATCCAGAACTAAGGGATATGGGACATCTCAGCTGGCCATACGCTCATTAACTCTGTCTTTTCTTGGGGAAGTGCATGCCTTTCATCCTCCCCTCCAATGACAGTGTTAGTCATGGCTCTGTGGCTTTTTCTCCCCCTTTTCCTGCTTCTGCTGGCCTCATGATTGCCTGTGGCACAGTGCTGTGTGACGTAGGACTTAACTCATGCTGAAGGCATTTAATTGTGTCAGTGGCCGTGGTGCAAGCCAGAAAGCGGTGCCAGCTCTAGCTGGCAAATGCGGAGTTGCAGGAAGAGACTGGAGTGATGGAAGGAGGACATGAGCTGTCTTCCTGGAGCTGTTCTTGTCTCTGGACTGCCCTGGGGGGTCATATTCTCTATTTCTGGATGACTGTACCTTGCCATCTGCTCCAATACCTGCATTACTCTGGAGTTTCTGCCTTTTGGCGGTGGTTTTTCCATGCTGTGCCTAAGGATGGCCCCTTTGCTAAGTGTTCCAATTGCAGTTAAAGACATGGGAGAGGCCCTTGTCCTGAACTCCAGCAGGAAAGGTCTGAGCATGTGGTTGCTGCAGTGCTTGGAAGGTGTCTGCTTTAGCTGTAGGGTTACAGGGTAAGTTTTATTCGCCATTATCCCTGCAGTGAATGTCTGTAGGGAAGCCACAAGCTGCTGTGAGCACATTTAGGTTTATGCTGCTGGGACTGTGTGTGGTAGAAGCCCCCGGAGCCATGCGAAGAAGGGCACTTGGCCAGGGGCTGGAGGAGCTGCATGAGCTGCTCTGCCTCGCCAGCACTCTGCACTCCCGTAGCTTGGAGCTGATGTTTTCTGGCCCTTGCTTCCTGCCTGGGGAGAGCTGAACTGGGCTGTGTGGGGAGCAGGGAGCCTCGCCACAACTCGTGGGCTAGGATTTTATTGTCTCTGTCCACCCACAGGTTCCTTCTCTGCTTTGTGAGAGGGACACGGGCATGTGATCACAGGAATGTGTTTTAAGGCAGCAAAGGCTGTGGGCTCTGGAGAAGTGTCATTCTACAGCCAAAATCACTTCCTTTGACTCCTGCTGGGTTCTGCCAGCTGCCCAGTGGCAGCGTGAGGACCTTCCTGATGTCAGCCGGCACAAAGCTGCTGCAAGCGTGCCATGATCCACAAGTCCCTGTGACTGCTCCTTCTTGCTTCTCGATGAGCTCAACTGTGTGTGCGTGGTGTTTCAAAACTGCAGTTTTGTCATGGTAACAAGGCAGCGCAGAGGAGGGAAGCCAGGTGGAGATGAGCCCTCCCTTCTGCTCGCCCCGGAGCTCTGAGTTTATCTGCAGTTTCCCGGCAGAGTGGTGAGCGCTGGCACTGGGGTGCTGTGACATTAAGACAAGAAAAAGGGTGAAAGAAGGATGTTCAGGCTGTGGGCAGGGCCATTAAATGTCTATTGTGTAATCAGCTTAGGGAGCAGGAAGAGAGGAAAAACTAGGGGTTTAAGGGGCAAGGGCAACACAAGGAAAGCCCTGGACCCTTCTGCACGAGGTGATGCGAGGGAGCCCATCAGTGGTACTCATGCAGTGATCTTTTCTGCCTGACAACCCCGCAGCACTTCCCAGAGCTGAGCTCCTGCTCCGGTGAGAGACAAGCATCCAGAAGCCATTTTCTTTTCATGGAGACATCCGGGACGGTTACAGCACGTGAGCTAAGAGTGCATCAGGGCTCTTGCTCTGTTGTGGGGTGGCCTTGATCGGCACCTTAATCCTTGCAACACCCGGAGCAGGAGCTTACTCTTCAAGCTGGGAGTGGGAGTTTGTGCAAGGCTCTGCTTTGCCCTGTCTTGTCCCCATGCTGGGTCAGGGTAGAGCTGCTGACTCGACTTTTTACCTGCTGCATTCCCTAATCTGTGGCTCTCCAGGGTCCCTTGTGCGGCTCCAGGGTCAATGGGGAAAAGCCACCAGGTCCCAGCAGCCGGTCGGGGAAGGAAGAAGCCGCTTCAGAGCCGGGTGCCAGCTCCTGTTTAAACCAGCTTAAGCCTGGCCAGACTCTAGATGGGGCTCAAGAGTTTGCGATCTTTCCTGCACGGATCCTGGCCTGGGTTTCAGTTGGCTTGGGGCACTCTGGAGCATTGTTGAATGGAAAGGCCATGGCTGTGCTCCCACAGCCCCTGCAACTGGTGCTCCCTGGGGAGACAAGAGACCCTCTCCCAGCACCGGGGTGTCAAAGGGGTCAGAGAGGCGCTTCCCACCACCCGTGGGGGCAGCGAGGGGAGGCTGTGGTGCAGGGAGGATGCTTGCAGGGCTGAGTCACGGGCTGCAGGGTGCGTGTTGGCAGGGAGAGGAGGAAGGTGCCGAGCGCAGGACGGAGCTCCAGCCCCTCTCAAGAGCCCCATCACCTCGAATGTCACCATGCATCCCACCAGGAGCCTTCCCAGAGCTGCTGTCACCAGTTGTGCCTTCCTTCCTTCCTTCTTTCCCTGTCCCTTTACTGTGTGTTTGCTACGATTCATGTTTGCTCGTGGCAGCAACCGGTTGTGCACATAGCACAAAACACGGTCTCTTCCCTTGGGGAGGGAGACAGACATTCCAGGCAGGCTTTGGAGACAGTGAAAGCTTTGCAAGGCTTGAGCCCCACTCTTTTTCAGTGTGTTCAGCACAGCAGGTCCTGCCCAGCATGGCCGGGAGCAACTCAAAAAATCCTCCCAACTTCGGTGGCCAAAAGCCCAGTAACATTTTTAATGCCTGTTTTGCCTTAGCCCCAGCCTGTGCCCGGGGTGGGGAGCTCTGGCACTCCGCAAATGTGACAAGCACGGTTAAAGCAGAAGTTTCTGAAGCTGCATTACCCCCTTGGGGAAGGCACAGACCCCTTTCTCCTTTCTTTTACAACATCTCATGGTGAGGTCGCCCTGAGAAGCACCACTTTGAGCACCGGCAGCAGCAGATGCTGTTGCTAGAGCGAGTCCCCCTGCCGTGCCTGGCCATGCCGGTGTGTTTTGTCGCTGGGTTTTGGAGCAGCACCACCCAAAGCCCAGCACGAGCTGGTAGGAAAGCAGCACTCGCCTGGTTAACAGGCGCAGGGAGGATGTGCTTGCTGCTCGCTGCAATTGCACAAGCTGAACCCCAGCCAGTTCTTCAGTTCTGAGAAGAAAAACAAAGCCATGTCCCAGACCAGTTTTCCCTTCATCGCCAGTTGGCCAGAAGGAGCCCAGATCCAGTTGCAGCCTGTTCTGACCCCTGGGAATGGTTCTTGGGAAAGGAAGGACGTGGATCTGTGTGCGGCGGAGCCCCTCGCTGGTGGGAAGTGGAATGCAAGGGGCTGCTGCCTGGGAACGCAGATTCCGGCTGGTGGAAGAAAGGATGAGGATGGAGTGGGAACGTGGGGAGGGAGCTGGAGGGAGACTTGTGAGGCACACAGGACGTTATCCCAGGCAGCGTTGAGCGCCGTGAACCATCCTGCTCCGGGACACGTTCCCGTGGGCTGCTGCGGTCCAGGCATCCATCGGGATGCCTCGGTCCGATGCCAGGACGCGCCGGAACGGGGTCACCCGGCCCCATAGGAGCCCCACGGCTCCCAGCAGCGCGGGGCCAGGCCCGCACATGCTCCCTGCCTTGTTTTGCAGGGCTCGGCGAGGCCGCCCCGTCCCGCCCCACCGGGGCCGCCCCCGGGCCGCGCCGGGCTCTTAAGGCGGCGGAGGCGGTGCCGGGGCCGGGCTGCGCCGAGGGACGGGCTCTCGCCATGCTCTTCGATCGCCTCAAGCGCTTCTCGGTCGTGCTGGAGGGCGCGGAGGGGGACGCCGCGGTCGCGTTCAGCCCCGGGCAGGCGGTGTCGGGCCGCGTGGTGCTGGAGCTGGCGGCGGCGGCGCGGCTCGGCGCCCTGCGGCTACGGGCGATGGGCGCTGCCCGCGTTCACTGGACCGAGTCCCGCAGCGCCGGCTCCAGCACCGCCTACACGCAGAGCTACAGCGATCAGGTGGAGTTCCTCAGCCACCGCGACACGCTGCTGGCACCCCCAGGTACGGCACCCACCACCCAACCCCTGCAGTGCTCCATCACCTAGAAGCAGGGTGTGGGTGTACCGGGGACCCCAGGGGCCGGAATAATGGGTGCATGGGGCAGGCTGGGACGTGCTGCAGACACCCCAGTCAGCTGAAATACGGGTGCATGGGGTGCGATAGGGTCTTGGTGCTCGGGGGGCTGGGTGCGTAGGTCCCCTGAAGACACCTCAAATGCTGAGGTGTGTGGTTGGACCCTGCTGTTGGACCCCAGTTAGGGGCTGGCCCCACACAAGACTCCCCCTTTCCTTGGTAGGGAAGCGGTGCTGGAAAACTCCTGCAGAGGTTCCGGAGCTTGCTTTGATTGCAGATTGGACTGGGTGATCCCAAGAGGGATCCAGCCCCAGCTTCTCTGTGTGGTGCAGGCAGGACAGGGCTGTCACCCTTGGGGGACATGGAGGGGTGGCTGACCCCCCCCAGTCCCAGAGCTGTTTCTGCCTTGGCCAGGTACCCCTGGGCTCTCACTCCCAAGCTACAGAGCAGGGTGGGTGCAGGATGAAGCAGAGCCCCCCCAGTGCTCTCCAAGAAGGTGCCCCTGGGTTGTGCATGCCTGACACGCGTGTGCGGAGCAGACAGTGCCCATCGCCCATGGGACGTGCCCCGCGCTCCTGTCGCCGCTGCTGCCCTTGAACCCTGGCAGAAATGTCCCTGTGCCATCGTGCTGCTCCTCTGCTGTGTCCTGCACATCCTTGCCTCTGCTTTGGCCAGGGAGGAAGTTCTGCAGGAGGGAGATAATCATCTTCAATCTGTTTTGCCCACAGACAATGGTGAAGCCACCGTCCTGCAGGCAGGAAGGCACGAGTTTCCCTTCACCTTCCAGCTCCCCGAGTAAGTCCACTTGGTTTTTGTTGCCTTCATGCAAAGGGGGAGAGAAATCTCTTGATGCAGGACACAGGTCCTGGGAGGGGGCACAGGGCACCTCAGAAATGAGGTTCTTTTAGCAGAGCCCTTCTGAAAGGCTCCTTGCTTGTCCGCAGGACCCTGGCTACCTCCTTCGAGGGGAAGCACGGCAGCGTGCGCTACTGGGTGAAAGCCAAGCTGCACAGACCCTGGTCAACAGTGAAGAAGGTGAAGAAGGAGTTCACTGTGATTGAACCCATCGACATCAACACTCCCGTGCTGCTGGTGAGCTCCCCCTGCGCCTCTTCGGGGCAGCAGCATCTCTGGGAAGCCCATGGGGAAGGTGGCTGCTTCCCCTCCAAAATGGACAATCCAGGCCTGATTTCCAAAGGGAATGTGTTTCCCCCCCCCTTGTAACTCATGCCCTCCAGTGTTACCTGGGCTGGGCTGTGTCTCAGGTTTTGGAAGCTTTAATGGGTTGCAATAGCATCTTGCATCAGATACCCAAGAGGCTGCTGGTGCTCCCTGACAGGTTCTCAGTGCCGGGGAGGTGCTTGCTTTGAGTTTCATCCTTTCTTACTAAATAGCTTCCGTAATCCCCATTTCTCCAGGCTCCCCAGGCAGGTGCTAAGGAGAAACTTGCTCGTGCCTGGTACTGCAACCGTGGCCAGGTTTCTGTGACTGCCAAGATTGACCGCAAAGGCTACACCCCAGGTGAGATGATGTGCTGGGGCCTTTGAACCTCTGTGGGCCCTGCTGGGGGGGGATTTGGGGGCAGTGTGAGCTGGGCATGGGATTGGTGAGAGAGCTTTAGAGTGTGCTCCTGATGTGGGCATCCTCCTCGGGACACGCTCCTGCTGGATTAAACCTTGTGCCTGCAGTGCTGGATTGCGTGTCCAGCCCTTGGTGATCCTGTACAGGAATCCCTTGAGGCAGGGACCGGGCTCTGTCTCCCTTCCTCCAACACGCGTGTCTGGTTTGGTAGGTGAGGTCATCCCTATCTTTGCTGAGATTGACAACTGCACAAACCGGGTGGTGGTGCCCAAGGCGGCCATCATCCAGACTCAGACCTTCATCGCCCGGGGCACCAAGAAGCAGAAGAAGTCGGTGGTGACCAGCATCGTCGGGGACTCCATTGCAGCGGGGAAGCGGGAAGTCTGGCACGGGCGGGCACTGAAGATCCCACCGGTGGGGCCGTCCATCCTCCAGTGCCGCATCATCCAGGTGGAATACTCCCTGAAGGTGAGGAGCACTGCGGGAGGCTCAGCTCGGTGCTGAGTGTTCTCCTTCTCGCCAGAGCTGGGCTCCTGGTGTCCAGTTTGGGCTGGTGTAGAGGTTTTGGGGCTGGTGATTTGTGTGAGCTCTTGGGTTCTCCCTGTTGGCCCACGGGCTCATGCAGGAGCAATCGCATCTCCCTTTGCATCCCACTGCAAGAATTCCCTCCTAACCAGCTCAACCAGTGCTCTGGGGAGATACCTGCCCCTTCAGGCTGGGAGAACCCCAGCAGCTGAGCTTCCCTGCTGCCTCCTGTCTCTGCAGGTTTGTGTGGATATTCCTGGGACATCCAAGCTGCTCCTTGAGCTGCCACTTGTCATCGGAACCATCCCACTGCATCCGTTTGGGAGCCGCACGTCCAGTGTCAGCAGCCAGTACAGCGTCAGCCTGGACTGGCTGAGCACCATCCCGGAGCAGCCAGAGGGTGAGCATCTCCCCCTGCCCAGGATCTGCCTGGGTGCTGTCAAACCGCTCTGGATGGTGAGATCAGAGCAAGTTCTCAGCGTGGCTCTTGCTCCAGGACCAGCTTTTGCAGGTTTTGGTTGTGCTGCTGCATCTTCTGGGTTGCTTCCCCAGGGAACTTGGGAGGTTTTGGGAAGCAGGGGATTTGAAGGCCTTTTACCTGTGTGTTTCCTGTTTAATGGAGAGCGTTTCCTGTTCCCTGATGTTCTTTTCTCTCTCCAGCTCCTCCCGAATACTCGGCAGTGGTGTCCAGCCCCGAGGCCGAGCAGAGCCTGGCTCCCCCGTGCCGCAGTGAGCTTGGTGGCATGCTGGAAGGTCCCTTCTTTGCCTACATCCAGGAGTTCCGCTTCCGACCACCTCCACTGTATTCAGAGGTAACGAATCCCTCTGGGCTGGGAGGGCTGGTGGAGACAGCCACAGTGTGCCCACTGCTGAGGTTTTTGACTCTACGCTTGGCTTTGCAGATTGATCCAAACCCCTCCTCAGACAACATCCGCCCGCGCTGCATGACCTGTTGAGAGAAGCGCATCGGATGCAGTTGACAGCGTAGTGATCCCTTGGGATGAAAGCTTCCACCCTCACAGCACTTGGGTCTGGAAATGGAGACACGGTGGCTGTGAGCCCAGAGCTCCTGCAGTGCCAGGAGACCCCGGCTCCATTGCTGCCCTCAACTCTCTTGTTGGGACTGTCCTGCAGACCAACACCAAGCGTGGTGGCGTGGGCTCGTGCCTGGTAGGAGAACACGGGAGACTCTGGTGTGGAGCAGGGCCCTGTGTGCTTGGGCAGGACACGGAGGGTTAATGACTGCCCCAGGATTTGGGGGCTAAAATGGGATGTTCAGCATGAGCCAGGATTGCTCTCCCCTTGCCTGCAGTGGCCATGCTCTGGCAACTCCTGTCATGGAACGCAGGAGCTTGGAGGTGTTTCTCAGGATCACTAGAGAATGTTTTACTGGGGCTTGGGTTTGTCCCGTGCTGGTGCAGGTGAAGCCCTGCTCCTGCAGTAGCTCACCAGGACTGCAGTTCCCTAAGGAAGTAGAAGGCCTCTTTCTGGCCAAATGAAGCATCATCTGCTGCTGCTGATCTTTGCCATGAGCCTGGTGATGCCTGCGGGGGGAATGGTTTTGGAGAACCCCATGAAATTGGAAAGGCTTCCACGGGCTGTTACCAGCGCAGAGGACTTGAGGGACACATTTATGATCTATGGCAGCGTTTTGGTTCTGTTTGCCAAGAACAGGAAAGCTGGTTCCTGTGTGTCAGCACCAAACCTGCACGACGAACGTGCTGAGGCCTGCTCTGTGATGGGGCTGAAACCAAGCAAGCCCCAAATTGCGGTACCATCATGGGGGTGGCATCTCCCTGGTGGCCAGAGAGAAGGAAGCCAGGTCTGAGGCTGGTGGCAGCCACAGATGCTGATGGAGATGTGGAGTTGAAACGAGTCCTTCAGGACCAGGAGTCCTTCTCAGGACGGGCTTGATCCTGCACCCAGAGAGGGGGTCAATGGCCCCGGTGCGGTGATGCCACAGCAGCACCCAGCACTCACTGGTGTGGGAACCAGGGAGCTGGGTGCTGTAACAGCAGGACCTGAGCAGAGTTTTGGGTGCTGAGGACCTTTGCATTCCTTCACTGAGCCAATCCTGCCCGCGGGGCCACTCATTTCCTGCACACAACCAAAGCCCCGTGCTGGGGCCGTGCTCTGCGCCCCGGGATTGCTCAGCTCTTTTCTACCTGTGAACACTTTTGTAATGAGCACTCTCATCTCCTTTTTGTACCACTTTTTGTCGGGGGGGGGAGGGTGTCTGTCTTGGTAATAATAAATCCTTTACACCCAGATGGGGCCTGCAGAACTTTGTCTCTTGCTCTCTCCATGCTTCCCATTGCCTGGGCTGCTGGCAGCACTCCTGCTCCCATGTCCCTCCCTGGAGTTCATTGTCCTGTGGGTACCCAGCTCCACCGTGTAAGTGCCACTCTGCACTGGGATTAACTGGGTTGTTTGACCAATGCTGCTCCCCATCAGGATTGGTCCCTTGTGTTCAGAGCCCTCCTGCTCTGTCTGGATAGCAGAGGATAGATGCTCTCCTCCATCCCAAGAGCTTGGCACAGACCCATTGGGTCCAGCTGGGACACAGCTGCAGTGTCTCTGCCATTCCCAAGGAGGGTTGGGGCCAGCCCCATGTTGTGCCAGCTGGGAATGGCTGCGGCCATGCTGGAAGAGCAGGGAGGCATCATGGAGTTGGGATTTGGTTTTTAACAGCATTTCTGTGCTCCACGTCTCTATTGAGCACAGCAACCCCTGGTCCATGCAGAGCCGGGCTTGAGCCAAGGCTTTGGTTCTATCCTCCACAGCCTGTGCTGCTTAAACCTATTGCCACTGGAATGTGATTTCCCTTCCCTTGATCCTTCTTTCCTGGTGCTGGTGTTCACTGAGCGGTGCTGGAGCGTGAGCTCCCGCAGCGGGCCAGGCGCTCAGCCCCGGGTTTGCCCGCAGGAGCCTGGTGCTCATGCAGCCTTCATTCAAACCTGGGCTTTACTTGGCGTTCCCAGCTCCGCACCGAGTTATCTTCCTTGGGAGAGGATGAAGCGGCCTCGCAGGGCGTTCGCCTGCATCCCTGTCTGTGGTCCATGCGATGCTGCGCCGCCTCGTGCCTCTTCTGCAGGACATCAAAGAGGGACAGGAACCGCAGCGCTGCAGCCCCCCCAGGGGGAGAAACGGCCTCCAAGGGGCCCCTGTGACCGGCTCCCAGCTCCAACCTGCGCCCGGCACAACGGAGCCTTTCTGTGCCGAGCCGCAGCGGTGCCAGGGGCTGTGTCAGACCCTGATCACCCGCCCCGGCCGCACAAGGGGATCCTTAATCCCAAGGGCTGGAGCGGGAGCACCTTTCTGGGCAACGCGCGTCATGCCAGGGCCGGCCCAGGGAACCCAACGCCAACGGGCACCGCTCCCGGGCCCCAGGGGAGTGGAATCTTCCCAGCAGGACCGCTTGCAAATGCTTGCAGGGTTTTCTGGTCAGGGCAGGCAGCAGGCGGGGGGGCACAGACTGTCTGGGTCCTCTGCCAGCAAAGGGCCGTGCTCCTGAATCCCAGAGGGGCTAAAAATACCTCGTCTGGATGCTGGGAGGTGGGATAAGGCACAGACCCCCCTGGGCCATGCTTTCCCTACCAGTGCCACCGGAGCTCCCTCCAACCTCTGCTGTTTGTCTTCCCTGGCTCCAAAGTCCCTATTGATCAGCACCGCTTTTATTCCTGTTCACTGGCAACAGGGTTTGGGGCTCACCGGGGTTTGCTGAGCCGGGACGGCCCCGTGCCACGGGCAGCGCTGCTGGGCAGGAGCTGCATTAAGCAAGTACAGTGCAGGAGTATTTATAGCTCTTGGCTTCGAGCATCGGAAAATGCTTCCCAGACCACCCAGCAAAACCTGCTCCTAGCGAGGGGCATGGAAACATCCCCCCCCCTCCCTCCTCCCTCTTTTCCTCTTTGCCCTTGGGTAAGTGGGACCCCTCCGCTGTGGGAACTGGGGTGCTGGGACACCTCTTATTGCCCCCCATGGCTCTGCAGGGTGCTGGGAGCTTCACCCCACAGGGCACTGGGACCTTCACCCCACAGCTCCCGGCTCTGCAGGGCACTGGGACCTTCACCCCATAGCTCCCGGCTCTGCAGGGCACTGGGACTTTCACCCCATAGCTCCCAGCTCTGCAGGGCACTGGGACCTTCACCCCATAGCTCCCGGCTCTGCAGGGCATTGGGACCTTCACCCCATAGCTCCCGGCTCTGCAGGGCATTGGGACCTTCACCCCATAGCTCCCGGCTCTGCAGGGCACTGGGACCTTCACCCCATAGCTCCCGGCTCTGCAGGGCACTGGGACCTTCACCCCATAGCTCCCGGCTCTGCAGGGCACTGGGACCTTCACCCCACAGCTCCGGGCTCTGCAGGGCACTGGGAGCTTCACCCCATAGCTCCCGGCTCTGCAGGGCACTGGGACCTTCACCCCACAGCTCCCAGCTCTGCAGGGCACTGGGACCTTCACCCCATAGCTCCCGGCTCTGCAGGGCACTGGGACCTTCACCCCACAGCTCCCAGCTCTGCAGGGCACTGGGACCTTCACCCCACAGCTCCCGGCTCTGCAGGGCATTGGGACCTTCACCCCACAGCTCCCGGCTCTGCAGCCCCTTCCTGCAGCATCCTGGCGGGGGGGGGGGGGGTTGCTCCTTCCCCCCTCAGCTCTCCCCATCCTGGAGGATGCTCGGTCCCCACACGGTGGCCGCGGCCTCTGCTCACGGCTCTTGTCCCCCGGTGCGGGGTCAGGGCCGGGGGCCAGCAGTGGGGAGGGTGACGTGAAGCTGGGAAGCTCATGGCCGGCGCGGCAGGGACAGAATGTGCCGGCGCCAGCGCAGCCTTGCAAGGACCGGGGATTAGGTGTGAGGCTGCTGCCTCCTGGCCCAGGCACCCATCCAGCTCCCAAAACAAGCTCTGCCTTCCCCCATCCCAGCTGGGATGAGCACTGCAGGGTGCAGCACACCCCAAAACCTGCCTGGGGACCAGCAGGGGCTGGTCTGTTTGCAGGGGGGGGTGCTTGGTGATGAATCCCCTTGGATTTTGACACAAGGAGATGCCCCAGTGCTGGGGATGTGGTCGATGCAGTGCCCAAATTCATCACCTCTGCAGCCGGTGGGACGCTGGGTTCACACTGCTGGCACCCCAGGGAGCAGCAGGTTGGTGCTGGTGGGTGCTCAGGAGCATGGAGACCTCCTCGTCCCCTCATTATGGGTCTCTGAGCACCATAAGGGGACACACACAGAGCCCCGGCAGCACCAGGCCTTGCTTTGGGTTTGGTTCAACCTCCAGAAGCCCCGGGGTTGTGACCAGCACATCCTGGCCCTGGCAGCATCTCCGGGGGCTCTCTTCACGTGGCAGCAGCAGCGCCGTGCCGGGCGCCAGCAGCAACCACGCACCCCGACGTGCCGGGGTGGCACCGCAGCATCCTCCTCCCGTGACTCAGCTCTGAGCGTGCCGGGGCTGCTCCCACCCATGGAAACCGCAGGCAAAGGCCTGCATCCCTGCGCCAGCTCCGCAGGAATCACGGCTTCCCCCGGAGTGTTGGCCAGGCCGAGAGCCCGTCCGGATGCAGGGAAAGCCACAGAGAAAGCAGGGTGGGTTTATGGCAAAAGCGAGGTCTGGAGCAGCCGGATGGATACCGCATGGGCCACATGTCCCCTGCCTGGAAAGCATCGTGTCAGTGCGAGCGGGATCGTGGTGCTCACCAAGACACCCCACAAGCCGCACTGGTGACACCAGTGCCAGGTTTGCTGCAGGCTGCCGGGAGCAAACCACCCCTTTTATTCCTTATTCTTTATTCATTCACCAAAGAAGTAGCAAATGCCCCATCCCTGGCAGTGCTCAAGGCCAGGTTGGACACAGGGGCTTGGAGCAAGCTGCTCCAGGGGAAGGGGTCCCTGCCCATGGCAGGGGTTGGAACTGGGTGAGCTTTAAGGTCCTTTCCAACCCAAACCAGGCCGGGATTCTGGGATTCCCTGAACCAAACCCAAGCCCTTGTTTTTCTGGGGCTGATGTCCCCATTCCCGCTCCCTCGTCACCGCTCCCTCTGGCAATGGAAAATTTTGATGCCTTTCCGACTTTGTTTGGGAGCAAGGAAGGGGCCCGGCGCCGGGCACAAACATGTCTATGGATAAGCAGCAAGGACTGGGGTGGGGATGGACCCGCCGGCGCCGGGGGCCAGCAGTGACCCTGCCCATGGAGCTGGGTGCCGGGACCCCAGCGCAGTGGGGACACAAATATTTTGGCTTTGTATGAAAACAACACCACTAAAAGGAAAATCCCAGCCCCAGTCCGGAATCAGCTGCCGGCAGCACGTGATGTGTTGGCACAAACAGCCCATGGGATGGATGGCCCTTGTCCAGCCGGGGTCCCGGCACGGCTCCCACACCAGCACACAGCCACAGGCTGGGATGTGCCGGTGACACGGCCGTGCCTGGGATGTGACACTGCAAGGACTTTGCTCCCAGCGCCATTCCCCACCCAGGCTGGGTTTGCCGTCACTCCCTGCTTCACAAGACAAGCAGGGTCTCCTCTCAGGGGATGCACCCCATATCCTGGCCCCCACATCTCCCTGCAGCTGGAACCTTGCTGCTCCGGGTGCCGGTGGAGACGCAGCA